CTGTCTTTGGAACTGTGAAATAAATTTCTGCTGTTTTAAGCCATCCATCCACTTTGTGGTAATTTGTTATGATAACTCTATGAAACCAATACAGTCAAGAAATGATCATTTAGCTTATTCCTTTCTAAAATGATTTTGTATTACAATCATCCTGTCTCTTGAGTTTCCTAAAATGACAACAGTTGTTAATATTTGCAAAGGTCACCCACAGACTGTGAGACAGAGATGAATGAGAATTAAAATTTGGTGTTTTAAAGCCCTCATGAATCAAATGCAAAGATATAGAACCAACTTGGGAGGTTGAGGCAAGAGAATCATGAATTCAAAGTCAGCCTCAGCGGGGCTGGGGTTGTGGCTCAGTGGTAGAGTGCTTGCCTAGCATGTGTGAGGCCCTTGGTTCGATCCTCAGCATTGCATAAATAAATAAAATAAAGTATTGTGCCCATCTACAACTTAAAAAAAAAAAAAAGTCAGCCTCAGCAAATTAGCAAGGCCCTAAGCAACTCAAGTGAGACCCTGTCTCTAAATAAAAAAGGTAGGGCTCAGTTAAGTGCCCCTGGATTCAATCCCCAGTGAACACCTCCCTGCAAAAGACAGATAAACACACCTGTTCTTTTGATGCATATGGTAAAATTATTCTCAYATCAAACATAAAGCTGAAAAGTCACAAAATACAAAGATCCTCTTTCCACCTGCCAGTTCAGTCTTACACACAAGTGACCTCAAAGTCAAAAAKAATTCATTTGTTTAATTTCAAGTTAGGTGGAAATGCCACTGGTAAAGATTATTCTTGAAATGTGGTTAAAAAAAATGATTTGATTTCACATGCATTTTAGTATACAGTGAAATATTTTGCAGCTTGTAGTTCAAAAGAGGAACAGTACTAAAAAAAAAATGCAGAATTGGATAGTTTGGTTCTAATGCCCCCCAAACTAGTAATAACTGAAAAATAAAGGCCTAAAGTGACAATTAGCAATGAGCATGTTTATGCACCTACACCTTAGTTCTATGTCATTTGGCAATAAAAGAACGATGAGTTCTTAGAGAAGGAGCTGATTCTAGGACTGGGGCAGGAAATATGTGACTGGACCATCTTATGGTGCCAAGAAATACGAAAGAGTTACAAAAAAAATAAATAAAAGAGGAACAGTACACACATTGAAAGAGCTGCCAATGGTCAAAGCTGAAACAATTTAAAAATCAAAATGAAGCTATACTGGATTRTAACAGATTATAAAATAAACATCCATGGGCCTACACTGACATAAACGTTTAATTAAGCTGGACACAGTGAGACACACTTGTAATTCCAGCAACTTGGAAGTCTGAGGCAGAAGGATCCCAAATTCAAGACTAGCCTCAGTAATGTAGCAAGGCCCTAAGCAACTCAGCAAGACCCTGTCTCAAAATAAAAAAWTGAAATTGGTTGAGGACATGGCTCAGAAGTCAGGCACCCTTGGGTTAAAGCCTCACTAACAAATAAATAAATACTTAAATAAATTAACAAACAGGAGGAAAGGGACAAATCCCCCATAGAGATTTCCAAATAAATTGTGAAAATACTCCACCCTAATGGAGGGGGAGAATAACTCTCCATTACTAAAGGTTATGCAAAGCAACTTCCTTCCAAAATGTATAGCATGGAAAGGAGAGAAGGTGGTAATTTAACAATGGTAAAGCCTGACAAACACTATCTCAGGAAGATGATCAAACTCACTATCAATATGTTAAGTCACACTAAGAGTATGTACTCTTTATAGCATGTGATGAAAAGGGCTTTACCTCAGTGATCATCCTCCCAAAACCAGTAACAGCATTTCAATCATGAGGAAAACATCTGGCAAATTCCAGTATACCTGACCAACACTCAAAAATGTAAAGGTTATTCTACAGAAGTATGCCAGGGCTGCCATAACCAACTACCACAGAATACTACTTTAAGCAACAGAAATATATTTCCTCATAATCATGGAGACTGAAAGTCCAAGATCAAAGCTTCAGCAGGATTGATTTCATTCTGAAGCTTTTCTCTTCAGATTGTAGATCCCTCTGCATCTAAATCTCTAAGGAAACCAGTCATAYTGAATTGGATTAGGGCCCATGAGAATGATATTATTTTACCTCTTTAAAGACCCTATCTCCAGGGCTGGGGCTAGCTAGGGTCAGTGGTATGGCACGTGAGGCACTGGGTTCAAACCTCAGCAACACATAAAAACTTTAAAATAAAATAAAGGTATTGTGTCCACATACAACTAAAAAAAAAAGGACCCTATTTCCAATATGGTCAAATTCTGAAGTAAAGAAGTTAGGACTTCAACATATGAATTTTGGGGGACACAATTCAATCCATTTTAGTCATAAAAATAAACAAAGCCTGAGAAACTCTCAYAGGCCAGTGGAGACTAAAGGCACATGACACCTAAATGTAATGTGGTGCCCCAACAGGATTTTGGTGAGAAAAAATAACTACAGTTTAAAAAACTAAGGAAACAGTAATAAACCACGGACTCCGTTAATAACAGTTTATCAATATCATTTCATAAATTGTAACAAAAAGTACCACACTTATCAGGGAAGAAACGGGAAAGGAGGGACGATTATGTACTATCTGCTCCATTATTCTGTAAATCAAAAATTATTCTAAAATATAAAGTTTATTAATAACTTTTTAAAAACAGAGTCTCTCAAGGACATCTTAAAAGAACTGATTTACTATTATTCTCCCGATAGCCCTTTTACACTTTACAAAAATCCCAGAGTAAAATCTTTTTGTTCATGTTTTGTTGTTTTCACTGTATTCAAATGAGAAATTTCAGGTTTACTTTGCTTTACGTGGTTCAGGGAGGGAAACAGATTAATAAGGGATTTTAAATTAGAATGTTAATTTAACAATTTAATCACCCAGAATCAAAATTTGTCCAAAGCCCAATTTAAGTGACGATACTATTCACTATAAGACGAAAACAACCAAAATATACTACCTGTTTCCTTGTGAAGCTTAACACATAATGTCCATCACTGGATAAGAACACAAGAAAAACAAAAAGTAAGGCACCTAATTGTAGTTAACAGGACGCAGTGGCCTTCAGCCGCGCCTGCGTAGTTGGAGCCGCGCAGAGTGTAAGCTCCAGGCCTCGGCCCCCGCCTCCTCCGCCGCCGCAACACCCCCTCCCCAGAAGAGTTCCCACTGCGCACGCGCAGTACTTAACGGCCGGTCAGGAGCCCAACAATTAGTCCGGTCTCATCCAAGAAGAAACTCTTAAATTAGAAGAAAAGGTAGTGCGCGCTCTCTTTAATAACATTTCCCTTTTATAGACAGCACCGCTCTGATTCACCAAGTCAGGCAGACACTGCTGCTTTAAGGGAATGAGGTTCCAGCAGTCACGCCAAGCAGCGTACGCAGCCTATTTAACTCATGGTACCTAGGCCACAGCAACCAAGAGGTTTGTAATAATCCASCAAGTCCCCACGTGCAATTGTTCTTCATCACTTACCCACTCTTGTTCCGGAACACYGCTGTCGCCACGGTTCTTGCAATACCTCTCCAACCCTTTTCGATGCTTCTACTTCTTCACGAACAAGACAAGATGGCGCACGATAGGACTCACCCGGAAGTGAATATTAATAACATCCGCTTGTCATCTGAAGCCATACTAGCACTGGTCCTTGCTTGTCGGCACGTCACTGTGGCGGATTGACAAGGTCCGATGCCATTTTTGTTATGGGCAAAACCACATCGACTTCTACAAGCGTTTGAACATTCCTATAATCACCTCTTAATGTAAGCTCGCTCCGGTGCCCTACGCATTTTCATCTTTATAGTGGGCAGAAAGCCAAGAGCCTCACTGTCCTACACAGAGGACGCCCTCAAATCTCTTACTTTAGTAATAAGCTCCTCCTTCAAGAGGACGTGTGTATCCCACTCCCGCCCCTGGAACATTCCCGCTCTGGGAAAAAGGCTGAGTTCACGTCTCCACTTTCAGACTACGGAAGGACTTGAGGGTCAAACTCAGTCGTCTCTGGTCAGTTGCTGAGTGATCCCGGAACAGCTTTTTAGGCACGACAGGATTTGGCCCCAACCTTCTTGGAATACCCGAGACTGGAGCCTCCTTGAACGCTGCCGAAGGTTCAGGGGAACAGGATATTTGTGCGGGTGGCCTGTTTGGGTCGATAGCCAAAGTGGAGACTTTATCTGACCCACAGCCATCTGCCGTCCCCTTTGTTAACCCAAAGCATGGCGCCCCTTCTGGAGATGTTTGCTCAGCTCTACTTGGCTCAGCTAGTTCTTAAATTTCTTTATCCGTGACCTTTAGGAAATAGTGTTCGGAAGTCTTCTATTCCCTTTTCCTCCCGAAGGGCATATGCAGTGCAGTTCCTTAAAAAGAAAACTTTGACTCCACAATGTTTTAATGTGAACAACATTTGTCTATCAAAAGTACCAATTTATATACTAGGAATTTCAAATTAGRAAAAAAGTGTCCCCAAAATGTAGTATTTATTTCTTGGCTAATCGTGGGTAAATGCCTTTCCTGAGGGGACAGATTTTTGCATAACTGAAGAAAGTCTGCACTCAGAATCTAAATCATTTCTTTGGGAGTTGGTGGACGGGAGAATCCTGCAGTTTACTGTAGAGTCAAGAGTACTACTAAATGAATAACAAACATAAGTATATGGCCCACGATTGGTCTCACCCTCAAGGAATTATTACTAACATCTGCTTGTCATCTTTAAGGGAGAGAATATGGGTACCCTTTATCAGTGTTCCTTGCTAAAGCACTCTGAACCCAGAAACACCTGGATTATCATCAGAATGAAGTCCTCACTGGCTGAAGATCTGCTGGTCCTCTTTAGGAATTAARCCAGAAACACTGCAACTCTTAGAAAAAAAAAAAATGTATGGCCAACATATAGGCACAGGCAATGACTTTCTCAATAGGACCCCTAAAGCTCAGGAAATAATGCCAAGAATAAATGGGATGACATCGAATTAAAAAAGTTTCTGCACAGCAAAGGAAACAAGAATGTGAAGAGAGAATCTCCAGAATCAGAGAAAATCTTTGCTAGTCATTCTTCTAACAAAGGATTAATATGTGGAATATGTAAAGAACAAAGTTAATACCAAAAAAAAAAAATTAAGAGATGGACAAATGAACTCAACAGGTAAGTCTCAAGAAAAATACAAATGGTCAACAAATACATGAAAAAGAAAAGTTTTAAGATGATTAGCAAATCAAAGTTACACTGAGATTTCATCTCACTCCAGTTAGAATGGCAGCCATAAAAAGTATGAACAATAATAAATGCTGGAAAGAATGTGGGGAAAAGAAGTCCCACACTATTGTTGAGAGTGTAAATTTGTACAATCTTTGTGCAAATCAGTATGGTGGTTCCTCAAAAGATTAGGAGTGGAACCACCATATGACCCAGCTATATCACTACGTGGTATTTATTTATCCTAAAGAATTAAAGTCATCATATTTTGGTGATACAGACATACCCATATTTATAGCAGCACAATTTACAACAGTGAAACTATGGAACCAGCCTAGGTGTCCAATGGTTGAGTGGATAAAGAAAATGTGTTACACATACACAATGGAGTTTTATTCAACCATAAAAATGAAACTATATAGCTTTGAGGAAAATGGATGGAACTTGAGAACATTATCTGAAACAAAAGAGGCCAAACTCAGAAAGTCAAGAGTTGTTTTCTCTCATAYGTGGAAGCTAGAGAAAAAAAAAGGAAAAGAAGGGAGAATCTCATAAAAATAAAAAGGAGATTGGTAGAGAAAAGGAACCAGGGAGGGAGAGAAAGGGGAAATAGTGGAGAATATTGGCCAAATTATATTGTTATAGTGTGTGAATATATGAATATGTAACAACAAATTCCACCATAATGTACAGTTACAATGCACCATTAGAATTATGGGAGGAAAAGTCATCATACTTTGGCATAACCAAGTTTATAGCAGTACAGTTTACAATGGCTGAACTATGGAACCATCTTAAAGTGTGTGATAATGGATGAATGGCTAAAGAAAATGTGATACACACACACACACACTGGAGTTTTATTCAGCCATAAAGAAGAATGAAATTCTGTCACTTGCAGGGAAATGGATACTTGAGAACGTTGTGGCAAAACAAGTCAAACTCAAAGTCAAGCATGGTATGCTTTCTCTCATACATGGAAGCTAAAGAGAAAAAAGGAAAAGAAAGGTTTGTGTGTGACAACAAGGGGTGGGGGGGGAACCTCGTGAATATCAAATGGAGATCAACAGAGTAGAGGAGAGGGACTAGGGAGAGGTAGGAAGGAAGGAAAGGGGAAATATGGGGAATGGTATTGGCCAAATTATATTGTATGCACGTACAAATATATAAAAACAAACCCCACCGTTATGTACAACTATAATGCACTAACAAAAATATGGGGGAGGAAATGCATGCTGTAGCATGATGCCTGAATGTTTTGTCTGGCTTGCTGCTTTGCTAGGTTTGACTCTGGTAGACTTCAAGGTTCTCCAAATTGGCCAACCCTCATGATGAACTCTTTGAGTGCAAGAGGCTGGAGGCAATGTCACGAGAAGGCAAGATGCTTGGATTCTGGTGTTAAAAGAGGAAGAAGTGGAATTATTCAGAATACATGCAAACTTACTTTTTTCAACTGATCCCATCTTCATAGGTTGCTTTCCAACTTTGGAACTGCTTCTTACTTTGGCTTTGTCTGTTTATATTTCCCTTAACTTTCTGGCCATAAAATATTTGAGTCAGCAGGGGAAAAAAAATACTCCCGGTCCTCAAATCAAAATATAAATTTATTTTGGGAGAAAAGTTCACTAATTATGGAGGTTCACTAACCAGGATGTGAGTTCATGAGGATATTACTAGAGGAAAAAGGAAACTCATTTTCTTTGACCCTTGTAATGTGCTAGCTTGATTACAAGCTAGCACAACTAAGACTACTAAACAATCTAATATGCTTCTAAAAGTCACTTTATGGAGCAAAAACTAGAAGAATGTATACCACATTATTAGTAATTATCTCTGGTTTTCTGTATTTTCCAAGTTTATTTTCATGAGAAACATTTAATTGGAGAAATATTCTATCAGTGAAACCTATCATGTTTCTACTGCCTATAATCATCCTGTAATTGTTTGTTTATTTCCCTTGTAAAGTTGAGGTAATTTGGGGGGTCAGGATTTTTTTTCCACTTCTGTACTCCACATGCGAAGAACACACAGAAATGTTTACATTTGTCAAATGATTGGATTTATATTTTGAGCAATGCCCTTAATGTAAGCCAATCATTTTGGATATCCATTGCCAAACGGAGGGGATGATTAAATGCTTCACTTTTTGTTCCTTGGTGCCAGTTTAATAATACACTAAGCAATCCCATTTACGGACCAAAAATGAGTTTTATTCCATTTCCCTTTCCCTAACCATTCTTCCAGAATTTCCCTGTAACAGGACATGATGGTGACAACACATAAGTGTTGGAATACTGTGTATTTCAACCCCAAATTTTCTCAGTGTGTATGCTGTTGTGATAAAGTGTCTGTGTAAACAGCTATCAYATATGAACTCCTGTGCTTTGGTCATCCTGCACCCTGATTATCAAGTGCTATTAGCAGCCACCATCTTGCCAGGGGTATCTGGTATCTGCTATCGATCAAGGGACTTTTGAAAATTAATTTTTAAATTAACTTCCAGTTTGCAGTGTTGGAGGTAGGAAATTTTAGAGAAAGATATACTTTAGTACCTTGGCTCATGGAGAGAAATTGTCCTTAAAGTAAAATGGAATAAAATGTTGATATGAGAGGTGGAAAAAACACAGAAATAGGAACTATTCCTGCTTTTCAATATTTGAACCTTTATAATGCTACTAGGTTCCATGCCACATCTTAAACCTCAAAAATTTACAGTTGTAATATACATATGCAGAATATTATTTAGCCTAAAAAGAGAACAAAATTCCAGTACAGATGGGTGTGAGCACAACTGAAATCCTACTGGCTCGGGAGGCCAAGGCAAGAGGATTGTGAGTTCAAAGCCAGCCTCAGCAAAAGCAAGGTGCTAAGCAACTCAGATCCTGCCTCTAAATAAAAAGTAGAAAACAGGGCTGAGGTTGTGGGTCAGTGGTTGAGTACCAAAAAACACCCCAGTACCAAAAAAAAAAAAAAAAAATCCAGTACATGCTTAAATATGGATGAACCTTGAAAACATGTTGGTGAATTAAACCAGACACAAAAAGATAAATATTGTATCATTCCACTTTTATGAGGTATCTACACTAGGTACAATAGGTAAATACAGAGAGTAGAAAAGAGGTTGTCAGGAATTGGAGGAAAATGGGAGTGGGGAGTTGTTATAGTTTAATGGGTATAGAGTTTCTGTTCAGAATGGTGAAAGGATTCTGGAAATGATGGTGTGGTTTGCACAACAATGTGAATGTACTTAATGCTACTGAATTATACACCTAAAAATGGCTAAAATGGTAAATTTTGTTATACGTATTCTTCCACATTATAAGCATATTTAACATACTATAAATTATTATGAATTGCAACTCTTCTAATTATTCAGTATCTACTTATGCATCTTTTAGAAAGTAGTGAGACTTTTTAGCATAATGAAGTATGAGGTGGACATGAAATAATAATTGGACTGGGGGAATAGATTGCCTAACATACACATGGCATTGCATTCGAACSCCAGCACCACAAATAACAAAAACAATTTTAATTATTTAATGATAGACCATGCTGAGATTTATGCAGGTATGGGTCATTTAGGTTAGACTGCAGAAAGACTGCATATTCTTATCTAAAATATTTTATGATTCAAGCTACTGTTTCCATATTATTGTTCACTAATACCTGGTTCTCCATGTACTTTCAGTACACAGAAGATTGCACTTCTAAGCTCTCTTAAAGTAAGAGAGGACTTCATGAATTAGTTTTGGCCATTGCACTATAGGTTAAGTGATGAAGTCATTTTGGGGCCTGAGTTTACAAGACCTGCTACAGGGTCACTAGACTGTATATTTCAGATACTGTAACAAGTTCCAGATAATGCATGTTTCGGAGGATTGGCAAATCCTCTATCAGCTTGTATCTCTTTGAGTTGCTGCATGGTGAAAGTTGCCAGAAAAATTCCCAAATCTTCCAAGGACTTTACAATGACAAAAAAATAAGCGGTTGAGGTTCTGGAATCACTTACTATAGAATAAAGCTAACCYAACTTGAGATATTTGTAACAGAAACTGAGTGTTGCTCAAATGAAAARCCTGTAATAAAAAGCATTAGCTTAAAACAAATATCAGTTTAGAGGTTGGTTGGTAGACATAGAAAACTAACATTGGAGCCTACAAACATAGCATTTCACATTATACAGTGGTAAAACATTAAATAAAACTATTGCCCATGATAATAAGAGGGGAAATAATACATATAATGAATTTCAATTTAGGGGAAGAGATTGAAAAACAAGACACTAGTGTGTGGTAGATGGTATTTGGAAGCAATTGGCAAGGTATTCTAAGAAAAAGTACAAATGGACATGGTGGTGCAGATCTCTAGTTTGAACTGTGTGGGAGGCTGAGGAAGGAGAATCACTTGAGCCCAAGAGTTTGAGACCAGTTTGGGCAACAAAACAAGACCTTACCTCAAAAATCAATCATCTAGCTAGGCGTAGTGGCACATACCTGCAATCCTAGGGGTTCCGGTGGCTAAAACAGAATGATTGTAAGCCTCAGCAAAAGCACAGTACTAAGAAACTTAGGTAAKAACCTGTCTCTAAATAAAATACAAAATAGGGCTGGGGATGTGGCTCAATGGTGTAGTGCCCCTGAGCCCCGAGTTCAATCCCTGGTACCAAAAAATAAAACAAAACAAAAAAATCAATCATCTATCTATATCAGAAAAAAATGGGTGGCTTGTGAGGTCACAACAGGATAGATTAATGGCAACCCAAAATTTTGAACTTCGTGCAAGATAGCGTTACTCCTAAAAGGAAGAGGTAAATTTAAAAATGCTTTTAAGTGACAAAAGATCATTAAAACTCAGCCTTATACCAAGGGTCACAAGTAAAGGCATAAATTTTTCATCTATTTTGGAATTTTTTTCAATGCATTAATTAAAGGTATGGAATCTTACTTACTTGGAGGGAAAAAAAATGCCTGAGTGTGAAAATGTGGTTAAAAGTATGCTTTTCCAGGCTGGGGATGTGGGCTCAAGTGGTAATGCGCTCACCTGACATGTGCAGGGCGCTGGGTTCGATTCTCAGCACTACATAAAATAAAATAAAGATGTTGTGTCCACCGAAAACTGAAAAATAAATATAAAAAATTCTTTCTCTCTTAAAAAAAAAA